ACCAACACCTCTCTGCCGCCGTTCTACATCCTAGTGTACGTCGACGACTTGGTCTTTGCCACAGCTGACACTGCTGGACTCGCCTACGTGAAGTCCGAGCTGCAGAAGAGACACACGTGCACAGACCTGGGTGAACTGCGCAGCTACCCTGGCTTGCAGATCACCCGGGACAGAGCACGCCGCACCATTACCCTGACTCAGTCAGACATGGTGCAGCAGGTCCTTCAGCGCTTCGGCTTCACGTACTCCTCGCCTCAGGCCACTCCTCTGCCTACTCGCCACTCGCTCTCAGCTCTGCCTTCGGATGAGTCCCTAGAGTGGAGTGGCCCGTATCCAGAGCTTGTTGGCTGCCTCATGTACCTGATGACCTGCACACGACCTGACCTTGCATACCCTCTTAGCATTCTCGCACGCTATGTTGCTCTCGGGAGACACCGACCAGAGCACATGGCTGCAGCGAAGAGGGTGTTGCGCTACTTGTGCAGTACGTCGGGCATGGGGCTAGTGCTTGGAGGGCGGAGTCCAGTGGTCCTTACTGGGCACGCGGACGCTTCTTGGGCTGACGACCAGACTACTCAGCGGTCGTCACAGGGTTACACCTTCAGTCTTGGTTCCGGCTCTGTTTCGTGGCGGGCTACTCGCTCGTCTTCTGTTCTCGGCTCCAGTTGTGAGGCTGAAATTCACGCCGGGGCCATGGCTGCTCAGGAGCTTCGCTGGCTCACCTACCTGCTGACTGACCTTGGAGAGCCGCCTCGTTCTCCTCGAGCGCTGTACGTAGACAACAAGGCCATGCTGGCCTTGTGTCGAGAGCATCGCCTGGAGCAGAGAACGAAGCACATTGCTCTCCGCTACTTTCTTGCTCGTGAGCTGCAGCAGCGTGGTCAGTTGCGACTTGCGTACGTGGCCTCTGAGGCCAACACCGCTGATGTTTTCACCGCTGATGTATATGTATACATACATGCTCTTGCTTGTTTAGTGTTTTATATATATGTGCACCCCTGCATGTGAACTGGCCTTGTGGCCTTGACCTTGTGCTCGGACTGTGTGGTAACTTTGTGATCCACCCTGAGCTTTCTTTGCTTTGTTTTGCTTGACTGGTCTTGTGACCGCTTGTTTTCCCTCACTTTGCCTATGGAGGTGTGTCACATATATATGACATAGATATTGTAGGCTATAGTGGGGTAGCACATATGGGGTACAGCTTTCTAGGGTTTGTATTTGTACCCAACTTTCACTTTGTGATTCCCATTCTCGTTCAACTCTTCTCAAATATATTGCACTCTGCTCACCCACCAATGAAGGACTCTATCTTCGCGAGCTACTCGAAGAAGCGAAGTTAGCCGAGTTACACAACTTTACCCTGTTCTGCGACAACCAGTCGGCAATTCGCATCGCCAACAAGAACGGCTTCGCGAACAGGACGAAACACATCGCCCTACGATATTTCTTCGTGAAGGACGAGATCGAGAAAGGAAGGCTTGAGCTGACGTACTGCCCCACTTCCGAGATGGCCGCTGATTACCTGACCAAGAAGCTCGGAAAACATAAGTTCCAATATTGCATGCTGCTGACTGGACAGAGCCACGTCAGCGACACTCAAGAAGCGAAGGGGTCTGTTGGAAACAATAGTTCCTAAGCGCCTCTATCGTGTCGAAACACTAAGGCACAAGCGAGGCAAAGCATATCGAGGCACAAGCGAGTCAACCCTCGGAGGTTGAAGTAACCGCTGGAGGTTACGCGAAAGTCAAAGGTCAGCGACCTTTGACCTGACAAATGCAGCGCGACAGCAAGGACACACAACTGACTCGTTACAGAGCAGTTGCCCGAGTCGTCACTGTATCGAACCGCAACAGCAACAGTAAAGTAGTTATAATTGTGTCTCTTCATATTCTCTGTATTCATATATAATCTTGTATCTCTTTGCTTTAATCAATTCACTTCGCCCTCATATACTAGCGCAAGGTGGTTCACAAACTCTTTATTAAGACGCTTCCGCTACTCATCAACTCTACCCAGAATTCACCTCTGCCAAGATCCTAAGGGCTTTTTCAGCCCAACATTCGTGTGGTAAGAATCTTGCAATCTCGTGTGTTCCTCTTTTCTTTGTGTTGTGTGTTGCAGGAGCAAACCATCGTCTACATTGGGTATTGAGGTTGTGCTGGAGCTCTCCTGAGTAACATAGCTTTTATAACGTGCTGTATCTGCAGAGTAGTGCACGTTGTCTGCATGTCCAAGTGTTCTGTAATGCTTTATTTAAAATGTGCAGATTGATTAATGGAATCGACTTGCTTCTGCATACAAATTATACTGGCAATAAGCAGCTCGTGACAAAATTAACAGTAATTGATTGATATCAATACTAATTGTGGGAATAGCGGAATGAGATTTATAATAGTTTTTTTAATGACAATAGAAAATACTGTCTTGTAGCTATGATAGTGTTGAAATCGAGAAAGTTAACATGGCAGAAGCGGCTCGCGTTAAGCGGGAAGCGGGAACGCACGTGATCGGGCCCAAACTTCGCGGGAGGGTCACATCTCGGGGTTCCCCAGTGTGACAACGAACTGAATCCTCGACCAGGGTGACATTGGGGTATCACTGCTGGCGACAATGGGGTATCACCAATCGGAGTACCCTGATGTGACCTTGGGGTAGAAAATTGCGGGGAACTTTTTTGGGATGTAGTGGAACCATTCATCAATACACCCAATGTTTTCGTTTATCTCACCAAGCGCGTTTCGGTCGGAGATGCTTGTCATTTTTGCCCTGTGCTTTTAACGTCTGCGAGTCACATTTCCGTGCATATTGCCGTCCCTTGCTCCCAAAATGTGGCTATAAATACGGTTTTGCAACTGTAGGCCGGCCTGACCGAATCATAACTAGTAAATTTGGCCTCGTGTTTAGCGCGAATGCGTGTAACTGTAGTGCTCTGCCACCGATTATCTTCAAAGTTTAGCAATTCAGTGTTGAATTTATCACGCGTGTGAATCGATTCTATGTGACATAAACGCATCGCTCCCAACCCTCTATGTTAATGTACCGAGCCTGTAACACAATCACAGGTACATCAAACGAACAAGTGGGTGTACACTCTCTGTGATGCACTGCATCCGGATAGGCGTGGTCGCATGTAGGTACACTCTTGTTAGAGAGACGCAATGAACAAGGTCCAGCATCGGGTAGCATCTACTTCTGCGGAAAACATGCCATATCCGAGGCTGTTTTCCGCCCTTTAATTTGCTCGGAATGCTAACTGGTACCTCTACAACTGGGTTGGACCTTTGCCTACACGGACATGCTTGACGAGGGAAGGTATACTTGCGAAAAAAATTATTTCAAGGCAGTTTGCAGATTCCCCTCCTTGTTTAAAGCTGAAGCAATCACTGTTGCCATTGTGTTTCAGGGTAGTAGAGGAGACGCACACCCGCACATTTTCTGCCTCACAGGAATTGAGGAGGAACTAAATAACTCGATTCACACTACCCTTCGAGTACCTTCAGGTTAACCCCCAACCGTTCCAATTGAGTGAGTTGCCCCGAATTAACGAGGGTTTCCAGGCTGGCCTCTCTGGGATGACAACGAAGCATGCGGATGTCTACAGAAAGAAGCACGTTGAAATACTTGCAGCGAAAACAGTTCACGAGATTGATGCAGAAGGTTTCATTCACATATAGAAACGCAGGAGATCAACGGGGGGTGTAGTCCATTCCATTATACAACAGTCAGGTACTCTAGAGAAGGTAAGGTGAGGGAGCTAGGGTTTCCTCAATGGCTCCACAGAATCGAAAATTGTGAGACTGCCCGGATAACTTCCAGATTGCGCTAGTCCCCTCCACCAATGGTCGGCGTAGTGGTTTGAATGCCACGCTGGACCATGAGCGGCCAACCAGCCTGCTGTGCAGCGCTGCCCGCAAGACCTTCCACGTCAATATCCAATCGGGCAGGCCATATAATTTGGAGAAGCAAATTATATCCTGTCTGAAGCGCTGGTATGGCCGAGCAGAGCACTAGTGTTCTGGTTCATTCAGTGCTTCAGACCTGTATCCGTGGCTTTAGACGAAACCCTAGTTTCTTTCCAGTACTGGTAGGCTAGAGCCCGACAGCCCCGTCATTTGCAATTTGAAGTTTCAAGTTTTTGAGTTTCGAGTTTGGTGTTTTCGAGAGGCACTTCCTCGCGGCAACATCCATGGCTGTTGGTCGCTGACCACTTTTCCTCCCCCAACGTTTCCTAGTGTTCCTTTCTTTGCCCTCACCTTGCTTGGCCGCTAGTGTTCAACAGAACTGAAACCAGCACCACTGTCACCTGTGTTTCTGACCTGATACACGCAGTCTGACTATATTTACCTTGGCAACAGGACGATTGACTAGCTTTCGGTCAGCCGACGCAAAGCTTTATTTCTTGTCCTTCTGCACTGCTATTTTTTTTTCGAAACCGTTTTATTTTCTGCTCTTCCCTTAGCGCAAAGCGTGGCATAATGACATCTGTATCTCTTCAGACGCTACTACAGCTGCAGACAGCACCTACAAATCAACAAACAACCACCTCCTCTGAACCGCCTCCCACAGCCAACGACGGTGACCCTTTCGCTCCTCTAGAGAATGCCGATGCTCTAGAACCCGTTACTAGCCACGACGTGAAGAATGGTGTTTCTGTAAACGATCCTACTCCTGCGAACGAGCCTATTCCCGGTTCGGACTCCGCTAATGTTGCAAAGCAGTCAGTTGACGGCAACGACGCGACCGAGCGTAATGATAGCGAGAAGAAGACTAAGCGTAATGGATTGGAAGCTGGAGCCTCTGAGGTGGACGGTGGCCAGACGGGTTTGGAGCCACAGCTCGCGCCGACGCTTGCGCCAGGCGGAGGCGGAGCGGAAGGCGGAGGTAACGCGGAAGGCGGAGGTAACGCGGAAGGCGGAAGCGGGAGGGGAGGTGGAGCGGAAGGCGGAACGGAAGGCGGAGGTGCAAATGTTGCGGAAGCGCCGGTTGATGTCGGAGGAAAGCTACCCGCGGAGCTTCCGCAGTCGGCGCAGTTTCCGGCGGATCCTCCGCGGAAGGACATGATGCAAATGTTTCAGGAGCAGACGGCATCCGTCCTGCTGGATCCTATCGAAGCTGCTTTTGACGAGGATGGCCTTGGCGAGGATGACGCGGACCTTGACGGAGACATGGACGGTGGCGATGAGGATGATGGTGAAGGCAACGGTGACGGCGACGGCAATGGCGACGGCGAAGGCGACGGCGACGAGGAAGGTGACGGCGACGGCGACGGTGATGGTGACGGTGACGGCGGCGACGGAGAAGGAGACGGAGAAGGAGAGGGAGACGTGGACAAAGACGATGGCGGCGGCGGTGGCGGTGGTGGTGGTGGTGGTGACGGTGACGGTGACGACGGTGACGGCAAGGAGCTGCCGGCAACGTTAGATCCGGCAGACGCGGACCTCCCCTTCAAGCGGAAACGCGGACGGCCGAAGAAGATCCGCAGAGCGGAGGCGCCAGACGCAGACGCTTTTTCCCCGCTCATTGGGGACACGCTGGGCGGGCGGCCGTTCAAACGGCGCGCTTTCGCGGAGGCGGACGCCGTGCGCGTGGGGATGGCGTTCCTGGAGCGCGGGGAGAAGAAACCGCGCGTGGAACGAGACGCGGCGCTACCGCGCGGACCGGCGCAGGGGCTGGAACGGCCACATCCGCACAAAATCCACTCGCGGCTCGGGCACCAGCCGCATCTGCATCCTCCGCCACCGCCGCAGCAGCAGGTGCCCCTGCCTTTGGATCCCCTCTTTGGCCGCTTCGGGCGGCGACCCCAAGGGGATAGCAAGTTCGTTCCGGATTGGGCGGCGAACTTCGCGGCGGAGATGGGCATAAGCGCGCGGCCGAAGGCCCCGCGTTATGAGGACGCGCATTACGATAAGATGGGGGAGGAGGAAGAGGAGGAGGACGAGGATGAGGCGGGGTTTGCGGGCGGAATGCGGGGAGAGGGCTTGCGGAACTTGCGTGGAAGGCGGGGATCGGGGGCGGGCTTTCGTGGCATTGCAGGATTGGATGGTTTTGGCGGTGCTGACGTGGACGGGAGGCGGAAACGGAAAGGACGGAAGCGGTTCCAGCATTTGCCGGACGAGGATGATGACGTGGTGGAGGTCAAGGATGACGTGTTGTTCTTCCCGGCCAACCGCGGGGGAGTGCACATGGACCGTAGGCGACGCCGTGAGATGCGGCGTGGGTTGCACCGTGGGTTGCAACGTGGAATGCGTGGACATAAGGAGAGCCTTCGAGGTTCGCTAAAGAAGGTCAGGCGTAAGGGACTTGAGAAAGAGAGGACCAAAATTGGGACGGAAGGGGAAGGAGAAGGGGAAGGGGAAGAATCAGGAGGTGAAGCAGTGGGTTTGGACGGGAATAAGATTCGTTTGACGGATAGCATGTCTGTGCCTTTGTTTCCGGGCAGCTTGGGCAGCAGCGGGATAAAAGGGCAGCCACAAATGAGCGTTCTTGGGGATGACTTGTGGGCGGAAGAAGAGGAGGCCGAGGAGGGAGGGGAAGGGGAGGGGGAGGATGCGGTCGGGGACTGGGCGCACCAGTTGCGCCTGGAGCAGGAGTTTTTGCGCGGGAAGGCGCAGGACAGGGAGCGCGAGCGGGAGAGGCGGCGGGGGGCGCAGAGGGACAAGGCGGGGGAAAAAGCGCTGCCGGGGCAACAGCAGGGAGAGGGGGAGGGGAAGGATAACCAGGAGGGAGTTGCGCCCGGCGCGGTTGGTCTCGGGGCGGAGGGGGAGGGGAAGGCGGAGGGGGAAGGGGAGGCGGAAGCCGGCGCTGCTACTGGCGGAGTTCCCGAAGGCGCTGATGATCAGGAACGGGCGGAAAAGGAGAAGGAGCAGGCGGGGAGGGAGCGTTTGGAGAGGGAGAGAAGGGAACGCGAAAGGATGGAAAGAGAGAGGGCGGAGAGGGAGCGGGTGGACAGGGAACGTCTGAGGAGCCAACAGAAGCTTCTAGAAGAGGCTATAGTGGAGATGAAGCGCATGAGGGGAGAGCAGATCGCGATGGGGCGGGAGCTGAGGCGCGCGCGGAACACCAAGGAGGCGGCCAAGCAGGCGTTCGGAGAGCTGAAGAAGCAGGTATGGTGGTGGCGCAGGAACACATGCTTGCGCAGGCGCGCGTGCAGCTCTCCTTGCTGGAGGGGGTCAACAAGGCGCAGACGGAGGAGATCTCGCGCCTCTGGATGCCCGCCACTCAGAACCAACCCAGTCTCCCCACCCCTTCCCCATCCCTTCCCACCCCTCTCCACCTCTGTCCACCGCTTTCAACCAATTTCCAACCCTTCCCACCCCTTCCCACCGCTCTCTCCTCCCCTATGTCAGGTTGTGGTGCAGGAGCACATGCTGGCGCAGGCGCGCGTGCAGCTCTCCTTGCTGGAGGGGGTCAACAAGGCGCCGACGAAGGAGATCTCGCCACACCTTCCCCACCGCTTCCCACCGCGTCTCACCCGTTCCCCACCACCTCCCACCGCTTCCCACCGCTCTCCCCTCCCCCCTGTTAAGTGGTGGCGCAGGAACACATGCTGGCGCAGGCGCGCGTGCAGCTGTCGCTTCTGGAGGGAGTCAACAAGGCGCAGACGGAGGAGATCTCGCCACACCTTCCCCACCGCTTCCCACCGCCTCCCACCGATCCCAACCCTTCCCACCGCTTCCCACCACTCTCTCCTCCCCTCCGTCAGGTGGTGGCGCAGGAGCACATGCTGGCGCAGGCGCGCGTGCAGCTGTCCCTGCTGGAGGGGGTCAACAAGGCGCAGACGGAGGAGATCTCGCGCCTCTGGATGGCCGCCACTCAGAACCAACCCGGGCTCGCCCCTGTCACGGGCCTTGCTGCTCCCCCTGGTACCGTCATGGGGTCTGATACGCGGTTCTTTGCCACTTCTGCCGGTGGTTTTGGCGGTGCTGGTGGTGCTGGTCGTGACGGTGTGCGTGGGGCAAGAGGAGAGAGTAGTGCTGCTGGCGGCACTGCTGCTGGTGGGGCTGATGGTGGGTCCAGTGAGGAACAACAGCAGCAGCTGCAGCAGCAGAAGCAGGACCTTCAGAAGCAGCAGCAGCAGCTGCAGCAACAGCGCGAAGCCGTAACCGCCCATGCACTCGCAGCGGATCTCGAGTTAAGTGCCACGAAGCTACAGATAGCCATGAAGGAGCGGCCAGTGCGCACCCTCCTGCAAATCGCCTGGAGCCCTGCAAACAACATTGGCGCGCTCGCCAAGGCGAAGTTTAAGGAAGCAAACGGAGGAATGGCTGTGGGGCATCCAGGGGACATGCAGTGGGACGACGTTCTCAAAGCCCTGGAGGAGTATATTCGGCTGGGGTCACTGGAATTCGCTAAGTACCAGCTCATGTTTGGTTTTAAGGAAAAGGCAGTGTATCGTGCCCGAAGCAGATTGCAGGACGGGCGGACCCAAGCCAGGCTGCTATCCGCGGCGCATGATGAGGCTCGGCAGCAGCTGATGGAGGGGACGTTGGAGTTTGAGGCGCATGCTTTGGCGTCTTCTGTGGCGGCCAGCGTGCGGCAGCTTCTGGGAACCGTGGAAGACGAGAAGCACGAGGATGAGGACGAGGAAGCGGCAGTTCAGTCGTTGATCGCGTCAGCCGCGGCTAACGCGGAGAATGCAGCGAGGGAAGCGGAGAGGGAGGTGATTCAAGCCCAGACGAAAGCGGCTGAAGGTCTCCCCCCTGTCGCTGACCCTGCTGCCGGCGCTGCTGCTGCTGCTGCGGGTGTTCCTGGAGGTGCGGGTATAGAGGGTGGGGTTGGGATGGATGGGGTATACGCTGCAGGGGAGATGGGCGCAGGAGGGGAGGGCGATGGGGTGATTCGGCGGAAGCCTGGGCGGCCGCGGGGAGGGGGGGCTGCGCTGGCGATAGGAAACGGGGATCTCCCCGCGCTCTCCCGTGTGCGCATCCCCAAGATGCCCACCCTCCCCGCGTCCGCGCAGCAGGCGAATGGGGAGGGGAAGAAGAAGAAGAGGAAGAACCGGGGGAGGGGGAGGGGGGCTGCGGAAGGGGGCGGGGGGGGAAGGGGCGGATGAGATGGGGAACGCGGGGGAGCTTGGTGGGGGGGGTGAGGGGGCGGGGGGGAGGGGAGGGGATGGCGGGCGCGGAGGTTGATCCAGCAGCGGCGGCAGCAGCAGCTGCTGCCGCAGTGGCGGCAGGACTGGAGGGGCAGATAGACGTTGAGGCGGTGGCAGCAGCACTGGCGCAGGCGACAGGGGGTGGGGGCAACCGGGGCGTGGGGCAGCAGGCAGGAGGTGGCGGGAGGATCGGGCTGGAAAGGCTGCGGCTGCAGGAGCAGCAGCAGCAGCAACAACAACAGCAGCAGCAGCAGCAGCAGCAGCAGCAGCAAGAAGGGGAGCAGCAGCAGCTGGGACTGCAGGGGCAGGGGCAGGCGCAGCAGCAGGGGCTGGGGCAGGGGCAGCAGGGATTGGGGGAGCTTGAGCAAATGGCAGCGTCCTGGGCGGCAATAGTTCAGCAGTCGGGAGCAACGGACTCGTCTTCTCTAGTTGAGCTGAGAAACTCGTACATTCAGCAGCAGCAGCAGCTGCAGCAGCAGCGGCAGCAGAGCCAGCCGCAAGCACTGGCCCAGCAGCAACAGCAGCAGCAGCAGCAGCAGCTAGTTCAGGAGCGAGTGGAGCAAGCAGACTGGCAGCAGAATCAGACCCACAGCAACCAGCAGCAGCAGCAACAACCAGTGCGGCACTCGCGGGCTCAGCAGGTGCCCTATCAGCAGCAGCCTCAGCAGCAGCAACAGCAGCAACCGATCCAGCAGCAGCAGCCACTGCAACAGCCGTACCGGCAGCAGCAGGTGCAGCAGTTTCAGCAGCAGCAGCAGCAGGCGCCGCAGCAACAAGAAGTAACAGTACCCGAGCCAGAAACAGGACTCATGGGCATGGCAGGGGCGGATGACGCGACTCTAGCCAGCCTCAGGCAGGCTGTAGGGGACGCCTGGCAGGGTTCTGGGTTTGGGAGTTTAGAGGCGCTATGGCAACAGGCAGGGCGGAATGCAGTGCTGGGGCAAGGAGGGGCGGGCGGAGGGAGGGGCAGCGCTGGTGGTGGGGCCGAGGCCGGGGCGGTAGGGGGAGCAGGCGGGGATGCCGCTGGTGCTTTTGCGGCTCAAACTGTTCAGCAGCAGCAGCAGCATGGTAATGCACATGCTGCGGCGGCGGCAGCTGCTGCAGCGGTGATTGCAGCGGCAGCAGCCGGCAGTGCAGGATTTGCAGGTGTTGCGGGTGGGGGAGTGGCTCAGCAGGACCTTCAGGGCGCAACCCCGGTGATGAATCTCAACTTCCCTGTGGCTGAGGATGCAGCAGGAGGTGCTGCTGGTAGTGGTAGTAGGCGGGAATCTCGTCGGCAGCAGCAGCTGCAGCAGCAGCAGCAGCAGCAGCAGCAGCAAGGGCAGTATCTGGGTTCCCAGAGGCAGGGGTCTCAACAGCCCCAGCAGCATCAGCAGCAGCAGTATTTGCGTCAGCAGCAGCAGCAGCAGCAGGCGCAGGTGCAGCCGCAGGTGCAGACTCAGCAGCTTTACCAGCAGCTGCAGGAGCAGCAGCAGCAGCACACTCATCACCACCAGCATCAGCAGCAGCCGGCGCAGCAGCAGCACCATCAGCAGCAGCAGCTTTTTGGCTCTGCAGCAGCAGAAGCTGCTGCAGGGTACGGGAGTGTGCGACAGGAGGAGGTACAGCATCATCAGCTGTACCAGCAGCAGCAGCAGGCACAGCACCAGGTGCAGCAACAGCAGCTGCAGCAGCACCAGCAGCAGCAGCAGGAGGTGCATGAGCCAGAGCAGCAGGGCTCTCAGTGGCCCCAATCTCTCCCTTTTGCCAATCTAGGTGGCCTGGATAATGAAACTGAGCCTCTTCAGTTCACTACCCCTGCTGCTGCTGCTGCTGCCACTGCTGGGGGCCATGCTGGGGCAGCTCGGGTGTTGCAGCAGGGAGGCCTGCAGGCTTCAGCGTGGGGTGAAGTAGCTTCTGCATTAGGTTCGGTTTCAGGGGTTGGGGTGAATAACCCTGTGCATTTCAACCTCGGGCAGCAGCTGGCAGGGAATCGGGCAGGAGGCGAGGCGGAGTTCGATCGGGTGCGCCTGTGGGGGAATGAGTGGGATGGGGTGAACGCTGGGGCAAATGCTGCTGCGGCGGTGGCTGCAGCGGCAGCAGTAGCGGGGGGAGGGCAAGGGGAGGAGAGTGCTAGTGCTGGTCTGCAACAGCTGCACAATCTGGCTGCAGCTCAAAATCAGTTGCTTCAGTTCTCACGGGCTTTTGGGGCAAATGCCTTTGCTCGCCAGTAGTATTGGAACCGCCTTTTGTGTGTGACGTGACGTAGTGACTTTGGGTAGTCGTGACATTTGTGACACTAGGTTGACTGCCTGCTTGTTAGCTAGCAACTAATCTACCTTACTGTAGTAGCAACTAGTTGGTACTTTTTTTTTTAGCTGAGTATCTTAGTGTAGATGCGTTGTCTCGTTCTATTTCTCTCACATTTGCCCTGCTGGCTTACTGAAGCTCAAGGTCGTTCTGAGCTGGAAAGTGCAAGGCTCCTCTCCTCCGCATGTCCCACACGCGGCCTGGATCCCCAATTTGCTCCCACCTGGCCTGGAACCGACTCGCGTAGCCAATGATGTGAGCGGAAGGGCCCACATTACTGGTTACGCTGACGTCAGGTAAGGCCGAAGCCACAGCATCAGTCCGTCCGCGTGCCATCATCCAGCATTTGCCGTCAGCTCTGATCCAATCATAGCAGAAAGGCATCTTGCTCAGCGCGCAATTTTCAGCCACAAAAATGGGAGTCAGCAGCAGCCAGCACAACAAAGGCTCACCCGCCACGCTACTCCACCACACTACACCACACCACACCACACCACACAGATTGCCCCCAGGCCCCACCCGAGCCGACAACTTTGGTTGCCAATTTCCCACTGCAGCTCATATAACCCTGTCTCACCCGACTAAACCCATATATACGTAGCAGGAATGCGAGCCGCGATAAGCTCGAGGCATTTCCAGGCTACCACCACCTCACCAACCAGCCTCAAAGATGGATGATGTGTATGTGTGGATCATGGCGTCGGTTACCATTCTGTGAAGTCAGCTCCACTTGACTTGGTACAGTAGGGAGGGAACTGGTCGCACAGGAGTAATCAGACTCAGGAGTTACGAGATAGCGGCTAATCCGTTCTTTCAGTCTAGCTGTCTCTTATTCCAGCACTTACTGTGCGACTCGAATAGCAGCATCTCGAAACTTGGTTGTCAAGTACTAGCTGAAATCCTAGAAAAGCACAATCAGTCTTCTTTTCCTTCGCCTTTGATTGCGATGTTGTACATACACCTGGCATAGCGCCCTATCCTTTGGAAGTTTATGCGAAAATGGTGCAATACGGCCGATATCTGCTTTCTCACCGCGTACCAGGATGGGAACCGTGAGTTGCTGCTAACTCCTAGCTTTCAGATGGCATACCGAATTATGCTTAGCTCGTCGCCGTCCTTTTAATTAATATTTGTTTTGGTGCTACGTTTTGGCTATCCGAGCCATCATGACGCTCTGTCGTGAAGAATCGCTTTTTGCGTGTGTGACCATTTGTTTGCAACAGATATTACCTCAACTATAAGTCTCTGAAGAAGGAAATTCGTGCCTATGAAGCCGCCGTGGCGTCGGGGGTCACGGAGGAAGACGTTCAGCAGGACATGGCACGTCGATTTTCTGAACATCTCGACTCGCAGGTAGATTTCTGGTTTCTTTTTACTAATTTATTTTAGACTAAGTCCAGTTTCTTTACCCTTACGCTTGTACATCTGTTTGTTTCTTCGTTTAGTGTTATTCGAAGTTTCTAGGCCAAACTAAGCTGACATCAGCCTCCGTTTGAGCGGCGTGAGTCGTCTCGCGTAACAGATTAGGTAGTTTCCTTGACCGGGTTCCATCAGACGCCAATACAGCCTGAAGGCATTCAGGGTTTGCAAATGCCGAGTGCTAATTAGCTGCTCGGTTTCGTTGGTTTGAGCTCTCTCGAGACGACCATTGGTTATCCGTATGGTATTCGGGCTGTCTAATGCTACGTGGAATAACATATATTAGCTCAAATCCGAATTGTGCGCTGGCAGATGGAGAAGGTGGTGCTGTTCTTCTTGGAGCAGCAGGGCGTGTTGGCGGGAAAGCTCCAACGGCTACGAGAGCAGAGGGAAGGGTCGAACACGCGGGGAGACGAGTCCAGCCTAGCGATCGTGATGTCGTCCGATTTTAGCGACATGATGGAACAGTACAGGTAACTGTGCATTTTGTTTTGTTATTTCAATGTGCTGCAAGTTCGTCATGTCATCCGATTTTAGCGACATGTGGGTACAGGTAACTGTGCATGCTGTTCAATTATTTCAATTCGGAACAAAGTCATCTGAACAGGATATTGAACAGGTGCCTCAATAAATGTCTTATTGCGCCTCATAGAAACATGCACTTGCAGAACTATCTGTCTTCCCTATCGCCACCAACTACCAGGAGCAGCGCTCGTTATTCGCTTCTGCCTCTTTATCATCTCCTTTTCAGGGACGTGGGGCGGGAGCTGCTGCAGCTGCTGCATTTCGTGGAGTTGAACGTCACGGGGCTGTCTTCCTATCCTATCCCCGTCAGGGTTAAAAAAAACGACCGTTTTATTGAATTTTTACCACAAAAAACGGATTAAAACGGTTCCAGGAGGTGTTTCCTCTATAACTAACAAAACGGCCACTTAGTGGGACCAAATCGAACCCGAAATGCAGCAGCATGAAGGGGATGGACCCCTTCTTGCATGTATGCGCTTGTTGGCATGATTGAAAATGTTTTTGACCTTGTTTTTCTCTTTTTTTTTTTTTCTTGGTGAACAGAGTTCTCTAACAAAAAAGCGGCCATTTTTTTTCTGAAAAATCACCGTAAAAAACGGACCGTATTTTACGAAAACCGTAATTTTGAACCTTCCCCGTTATAGTGCTGCCTCCCTTTCCTTCAGTAGCAGCTGTTATTATTTAATCCTGTTCTCGGTCAGCAGAGACGTCGGGAGGGAGCTGCTGCATTTCGTGGAGCTGAACGACACCAGGCTGCCATTTTATCCCCGTTATAGTGCTGCCTCCTGTTGCCTTACAAGCAGCTGTTTTCATGTCTTCTTTATTTTCTCTTTGCAGGGACGTGGGGCGGGAGCTGCTGCATCTACTGCAGTTTGTGGAGCTGAACGCCACGGGCCTGAGGAAGATCCTGAAGAAGTTTGACCGGCGTGTGGGCGTGAGGCTGGGACACATGTACATTGCTTCGCGCACGCTGCATCCCTACTCGCACCTGCAGCAGATCTTCAAACAAGTGGTGAGCGGTGGTGTGAATTGTGAGTTGTGATCCTGAAGAAGTTTGACCGGCGCATGGGCGTGAGGCTGGGACCCACGTAGTCGCGCACGCTGCAACCCTACTCGCACCTGCGACAGATATTCAAACAAGTGGTGAGTTGTGAGAGTTGATGTGTGATTTGTGTGTGAAATACGAGATGAGACGCTCTAAATTCTGCACCTCGTCTGGCTGCATGCCATGGTGGGGCACTGCACAGCACTGGGCGCCATCGTCCACAAATTGGACAAGCTGCACATGCCATGTGCTACCCAGGATTATTATTTTCTTACCCTCCCCTCCTCCCCCCCCCCTCCCCCCCCACACCCGCTTCTCATCAACGTCATCCCCAGGGTCTGGGCGCTATGGTGGGAACAATCATTCGCAATCTGGACGAGCTGCATGCGCATCTAAGCCTCTTGTGCATGCCTCATGCCCTACGTGCCTGTCTGTTCACCTTCTGTCCATCAGGGTCTGGGCGCCATGGTGGGAACAATCATCCGCAATCTGGACGAGTTGCACCGCAGGGAGCGGTGCTTCTCCTCGCCCTCCAATCTCCTCTCACCACGTGGTGCCGGCACGCCCAGACGCACGTCCTTCTCGCTCTTCAGGCAGGGGGACGAGTCCCCGGTGTACGTGGCTCAGGAGGAGCCCATCATTCAGGTGGGTGCTGCTGATGGTGCAACCGTTTACAGTGATGCGCACGTGGTGGCACGTGGTGGCACTCCCAGACGCCTGTTTGCACTCTTCAGGCAGGGGGACGAGTCCCCGGTGTACGTGGCTCAGGAGGAGGAGCCGATCATTCAGGTGGGTGCTTATGGTTTGACCATGTTAACTCATGTGCATACTCATACGGAGCTTAAATGCCCGCACTCTTCAGAAAGGGGATGAGTCCCTCCCTGGTGTATGTGGCCCAGGAGGAGGAAGAGAGTGGGGGGCCGTTTTCACTTTCCCTTCCAGTCAACACACAGTGAAATGATTTTCCTTGTGAATGTGCGTGTGGTGTGGGGGGTTGGGGTGGGGGTGGGTTCGGGTCGGGTGTGTGTGTGTGCTGCTAAGCCTATTCACCCCTTCAGGAGATCGAGGCAGCCAGAGCAAAGCTGACGGATGCAGTGGGGTACAGCACGTACATGGTCAAGGGGCTGCTGCCCGCCCCTAAGAGACAGGGAGTGGGGTGGGGTCATGTTCGCTTCCATGTTTGTCAACACAATAGCACCTGCTTTTCCTCGTTACTGACCCCCTCAGGAAATCGAGGCGGCACAGGCGAAGCTGACAGACGCGGTGGGGTACAGCACGTACATGGCCAAGGGGCCGCTGCTGCCGCCCGCCCCCTGAGAGAGGGCCCGAGGCAGGGGAATCATGTGTAAAATCCCTTTCAGTCAGCACATATTCAACTGCTTTTCCTTGTGAATGTGTGTGTTGGGGGGTGGGGGGGTTGGGGGGGGGGGGAGTTGTGCCTGGTGTTGAATTCTTTCAGGAAATCGAGGCGGCACGGGCGAAGCTGACAGACGCGGTGGGGTACAGCACGTACATGGCCAAGGGGCTGCTGCTGCCGCCTGCTCCTGAGAGAGGGCCCGAGGCAGGGGAGCCGGAGTTCCACTGGTGGTCGCTGCAGCTCAACCAGTTCAACACGTTCCTCTACATGGTGAGAGCACGTTTGTGTGTGTGGTGCAGTTTGAAAGCTGCTCTGAAGGGGTGCTATCAAAACGAATCTCCCAAGGGGCTACTGCTGCCACTCCCCTCGAAAGAGGGCCAGAGGCAGGTGAGCCGGAATGCCACTGGTGGTCGCTGCAGCTCAACCAGTTCCACACGTTCGTCTACATGTTGAGAGCAGCTTCATGTAGGGGGTGAGCTGAGCGCTGATGAGAAGAGCACGCCTGGTGCCGCCTCCCCCTGAGAGAGGGCCCGAGGCAGGGGAGCCGGAGTTCCACTGGTGGTCGCTGCAGCTCAACCAGTTCAACACCTTCCTCTACATGGTGAGACGAGACTCAACAGCTGCTCCGAAACCCAGTGGGCTGGTCTGGCCACGACTTGTGTTTGAAACAGCTTACTACCTTTCGTCCCCGTTTTCTTCTTTTTCTCGCATTCAAACTAGTACATCTTCATCCCAACATCAGACAAATGGGTTGTTGACCTTAGGCAACTCAAGGGTCCTTCTTTCCCACAACTCATCCACCCCTTTCAGGTGAACTACTACATTATCATGCCAACCTCAGCCGAGTATGCAGTCCTCCTTTCCGCCCCGCCAGCCCTCTGCGGTATCATCATCGGCGCCCCTCTGTGCGCTCGTCATCCCTCCTGGCCTGCCCCCTCCCTTTCCCACCTCCCCTACCCCCTTTGCCCCCTCTCCCTCCCCTCCCTCCCCTCCCCCCGCCATCCCCCCGTCCCGACTGCCCGTCCCTCCCTCCACCGCACCCCACCTCCTCCCACCCAGGTGAACCACTACACCATTGTCCCAACCTCAGACGAGTACGCAGTCCTCCTCTCCGCCCCGCCAGCCCTGTGCGGTATCATCGTCAGCGCTACGCCCCTCTGTGCTCTGGAGCCAGCCTTCATCTTACCCCCTCCCACCGCACGCAACCTCATCCCACCGCACTCAACCCCATCCCACCCAGGTGAACTACTACATCATCGTGCCAACCTCCGACGAGTATGCCATACTCCTCTCCGCGCCACCCGCTCTCTGCGGCATCATCATCGGCGCCACGCCCCTCTGCGCCCTGGTCTCTCGGCCTTCATCTTCAGCAAGTGGTCCAACACGTCCTACACGCAACTTACCCCTTCTCACCGCACCCAACCGAATCTTACCGCACTCAACCGCACCCCACCACACCCAAACCCACCCCACCCACTCAGGTGAACTACTACATCATCGTGCCCACATCAGACGAGTACGCAGTCCTTCTCTCCGCGCCACCCGCTCTCTGCGGCATAATCATTGGCGCCACGCCCCTCTGTGCGCTGGTGTCAGCCTTCATCTTCAGCAAGTGGTCCAACACGTCCTACACGCAGCCCTTACTCGTCTCCACGCTCGTCCTGCTGCTCGGCAACTTCGTCTACGCTGCTGCTCTGGATTTCAACTCCGTCGCCCTCTTGCTCATCGGCCGGTCGCTCACCGGGTAAGGCACAGGTGAAAGCCGGTGGGGATTGGGGGGGAAGGGGAGTGGGGGATGGGTGCGTGGGGATGTAAGGCAGCAGCACGCGCGCCCATCTGCGCGCTCGTATCAGCCTTCATCTTCAACACGTCCTACACGCACCCCCTGCTCGTCTCCACGCTCGTCCTGCTGCTCGGCAACTTCGCCTACGCCGCTGCCCTCGACTTCAACTCTGTTGCCCTCCTTTTGATTGGCCGGTCTCTTACCGGGTAAGGCAGGGCCGCAGGGGTAGACCTGGAAGGAGTGGGCAGGGGCGAGAGGAGGGGATAGGGGAGGGGTGGGTGGAGAGGGTGGGTTCAGCATCATTGGGGATCCGGAAAAAGGGGGCAGAGGGGAAAGGAGGAGGGGAGGAGAGAGGGAAAAGGTGATTGCCTGCTTGCCTGCTGAGAGTCCACTTCCTTCCACTTCCATTACTGCCTGCTGAGAAATTTCACCCTCATCGACTTCCTCAGCTTCCACTTCCTCTGCTTCACTGTCAACTCAGTCACCTCCCCCGGCTGGCTCATGGTTCGCTTCCTTTGCACTGCACTGCACCCGTTTCCACCCTCCCTCCCTCCCTCCCTGCAGCCTGGGAGGAGTGCGAGCGATTAACCGCAGATACATAGCCGACCACGTGCCATCATCTGAACGCACCTCAGCCTCAGCGGGCTTTGTAAGCGCCGGCGCGCTGGGCATGGCAGCAGGGCCCTTCGCCGCCTCCCTGATCGACTTCCTCAACTTCAAGTTCCTCGGCTTCACTGTCAACTCAGTCACCTCCCCTGGCTGGCTCATGGTGCTCTCCTGGCTGCTCTACCTCGCTTTTGTGGTTCTTTTCTTTAAGGAGCCGGACCGGACACACCTGCAGCCGGTGCCGGCAGCAACGGGGGTGAAGTCCGGAGGGAATTTGAGAAGGAGGGGGTCTAAAGAGGCTGCGCTGGGAGGGAACCTGAAGAGGGGGGGTTCTAAAGAAGCGGCGCTGGGTGGGATGGGAGCGGTGGGCGTGAATGGGGTTGTGGGGGAGAGGGGAGGGTGGGGGGATAGGGATGGAGTGGTGGTGGGAGAGGGGAGTATGGTGACTGCTGCGTCGCCTGCTGATGGCGCAGTGAAGATTGAAGAGGAGGGATTTGGCACAGGGGCAGGAGTCGAAGTGTGGGGAGGGGCGGTAGCAGGGAGAGGAGAGAATAGAGGGGCTGGGAGCGCCTTATCCGAGCCTCTGTTGAGGGGGCTGGCAGGGCAGGACAGTAGGAATAGTGTGACAGCAGCGACAGCAGCACGGCGAGTGCACAGTGGGATGGTTGACGAGAGCGACGCGCGAACTTGGCTGATGCTAGCCTCTCTGGTAAGCCTTCTTTCTCCATTCCTGTTTCTCGCCTCCAGCACCTGAGCGTCTACGCATCTTTGCATTTCCGCCTTGCATTTCTGCATCATCTCGGCACCTCAGAATCTCAGCAGGAGCAGCAGCAGTTCTTGCTGGCTAGTATTATCCGGTGTACCTCCCTATTTCACTCTCTCTAAGGTTGCATGTTCTTGCGTCTCTGGTCGCTCCTTTCCCTCCCTTCACTCGTTCCCAGCCGAGGGTGGATGAGGGGGAGGACAAGGATGATGATGGAGCATTTGCGGATCATCATCATCCTGCCCTCATTAACCACGCCTGCCCTCCCTTCCCTCCTTCCTCCCCACCCTGATCCTCATGTACCCCCCAACGGACTTTGATGAGGGGGAGGTCGAGGAGGACGAGGATGATGATGCTGCATCGTTCCCCCATGCCCTCCCTCTCTCCCTTCCTTCCTTCCGCCCCACCCTGATCCGCTTCTTCTTCCCAGCCGGACATAGATGAGGGGGGAGGACGAGGAGGACGAGGATGATGATGCTGCATCATCCACCGGGGCTGTGGAGACGCTTTCAGAGCTCATGAAGGGCTGTCACGGCCCATCTCGGTACAGTGCGGTTCTAATGATGTCAATGCAGACTGAGAGGGGCTTGTTGATGGGTTCTGTGGTATGGAAATGAGGCATGCTGTTACCGTCCAATGGAGCCGTGGAGACATTGCCATGCCAGAGCTCATCAAGGAGCTGTCGCGGCCTATCTCGGAACTGTGGGGTTCATGCATATGGATGTTAATGCTGAGTTGGGAATGACGCATAGCTGCAAACAAGCCAGCTGTGGTGTGGTAACTCATTCCGTCATGCCTATCTGAGGTGTGCCTTGTGTCGACCACTGGAGCTGTGGAGACGCTTACAGGGCTCCTGAAGGAGTTGTCCTTTTGAGACGTCTCAAAACACTACTTTTATTAAGTGGCTACCGATCTTGGTATGGCAAGCAGGCCGGTTTGGGCGGGGACTTACTGTGCTCTGTGTACTGTCCATTGTATGCCGTGCGCTGTGTGGTGTGTGCTGTGTGCTGTGCGCTGTGGTGTGTGGTGTGTGCTGTGCGCTGTGTGGTGTGTGCTGTGTGCTGTGCGCTGTGTGGTGTGTGCTGTGTGCTGTGCGCTGTGTGGTGTGTGGTGTGTGCTGTGCGCTGTGTGGTGTGTGGTGTGTGCTGTGCGCTGTGTGGTGTGTGCTGTGTGCTGTGCGCTGTGTGGTGTGTGCTGTGCTGTTCGTCGTTCTCCTCCCATCCCCATCCTCGTTATTGCAGGTCCTCCTCTTCATGTACTTCATGATCAAATTCGCCACAGAGGTGCTTATATCGGAGTCCAGCCTTATCTCCAAGTACTACTTCCAATGGACCATCAACGACGTACGTTCCGTTCCTTCCCCATTATCTAGACCCATCGCTCTGCTCTGCCTACTCTTGTACACTTGTATTGGAGTCCAGCCTTATCTCCTAGTACTACTTCCAGTTCAGCGGACAATCAATGACGTAGGTTCCAACTTCCAACCACTTCTTCCCCGTTGAGTAACCCAATTACTCTGCCTACCTGCATTGTTCTGGATTTTTCTTTTTCTTTTCGTTTTCTTTTTTCGCCGTCAATCAACGATGCGCATCATCAGCAATGAGTGGATCTGGCAAAGCAATGCTTTAGAAATGTTTTTGTAGCTGACCTGACTGGGTGATTGGGGCCTTGGAGAAATTTTAAACGCCAAACGTTTTCTCCTCTCTTCCTTCAGATTGGTTGGTTTCTGGGTCTCCTGGGTCTCACAGTGCTGCCCATCAGCTCGGTGGTTGGAAATTACATCACCAACATATACGAGGACAGGTAAGCAGTAGGCCTAGTATGCGTGCTAGTGTATGTATGGTGCAGGATAGCACACGTATGGTGTAGGCTGGCTGGTACAAGTGTGATACAGGCTAGCGTACATCTCACAGTTCTACCCCACCCATCAGCTCTGTGGTTGGAAACTACATCACCAACATATACGAGGACAGGTAGGCAGTAGGTTTATCATGCATGCACGCTGGTACAAGTGTGATGCAGGCTAGTGCATGTCTCACGGTTCTCAATCACAGGACTGCGATTGGTTGGGAACTACATAGCCAACATATACAAGGACAGGTCAGCAGTAGGTGTATTGTGCTGGCTCTTACGCATGCATTACAGTTTGGTACACTTTTCATAAACTGATGATGCTGATTGTTGATTTTCCTCCTTCCCGTCTGTTCACTGCGCCCTTCCGCAGGCTGGTGATCATGTGGACGCAGGGCCTGATCGCAGTTGGGGTGATAGCTGTGATGTGTTTTGCGCCAATCATCAAGTACACTACACAGCAGTACATTGTTGCTGCTGTCATCATCTTTGTCTCCTGCAACGTGCTCGAAGGTGCGCTGCGGTTTCTTGGTAATTAGTGTAGCATCAGTGTAGCTCTTGCAATCCATGGCTCTGCTTCTCTGAGTGTACGCAGCTTTGTAGGGCTTTCCAATTCCACTACAGTACTCACCCACACTCCTGTCTGGATTGCTGTCTGAAACTTGTGTGGCGCTTTGCAGGGGTTTCTCTTTCACTCATGTCGCGCATAATGTCACCACGCCTTGCAAGAGGAACGTTCAATTGCGGCCTTCTGTCGACTGAGGCTGGAACTTTCGCCCGAGTGGTGGGGGACGGCCTCATTACTCTTGTTGGATACTATGGCACGCATCTAGTCCTCAACCTTACAATGATTCCGGTGCTAGTAAGCGTCCTAGTTTCTTTACTAGCCACTCGGTGGGTGTACTATGCACTGTACTAGCTTGTCTTTCACTGATGTGGTCTTATGTCTGGTCAAAAAAAGCTGAAAGTACCACTAGCTAGACTTAGCACTAGAAATCGCTCGTTTGAATGATCTGAAATGTGTGTTCCTTCAACGAAACTTGTCCTGGTTAGCGGATCTGCCGAAACTGAGAACATTGGTTGGCACACTTCGCTGTGCGGCGCGCCAAACGGTCACACAAGTTCGAAACCACGTTTTCAAGAAGAGCACCTGCAGGCGGGACCTGCTACACGCCATCCACTTCGTTATTTCCACACAGCCCGTTCCCTCCTTTCTTGTCCCGCCTGACAGACGCAAAAATGTTTCACCTGTCTGAGCAGCATGACTTCTGCGGAAATTCCATTGCTCGTACAGTACGCAGGGGTTTACGGGCCACGCATGGTCCACGCCTCGCCCCGCCTACTTCGTGACGCGACGCGAATCCAGTCCATCCAGATTCCGAACCATTCCTTTCATGATTCCATCCATCCAAGTCTCTCAAAAAATCTGTACCACTACTGTAAAGTATTGAACCGCACCAAATTCCTCCCGTTTTGTGACAGGGAGTTGTCCGCTCTCGTGCCCCATCATCAGACAGCTAATCCTAAACCAAAGCCTCGATCATTTTCTCCAGCCTGCGCATCACTCCACTAAAGCTTGTAGTTTTCGGGAGTTCAGGCCTCAGACTCAGCTCACAACTCCTGAGGTCATTGCTGGTTGTTGCTGGTAGCTTACCAGCTGATGTAGACGAAATCATTAGCGACGAGGCAACTCACAACCCTGTTTTGCATCTAGTTGAACGTGCGTTGCTTGACAGTAGAATAACGACTGACTGGTTCCCTCAAAAGGCATCACCATGGTAAACAATCCGTCGTCGATCTCGGCCGTGGGGGCATGGACCATGAACGTGGTTAGCTCCGTCGGGATCATCATGATTAACAAGCAAGTCATGTCAGGCTATGGCTTCAGGTTTGGTAAGTCATAACAACCCCTTTTTAGAGGCTAACAAAAAGCTCTTAGACCATCGTAATCAACTTTCTTGAAGCGCAGTGTAATCTTTATGTGCCGCGATGCTACCACGTGCAGGAATACGACATTCACACAAAGACTTTAGGATCGTCGATAATGGCTTTGTGCCTTTATTTGATGTTTCATCTCTCGCTTGCTCTGCGCAGCTTCGACACTGACGGGTCTACATTTCGGAGTGACGGCTCTGGTCGGAATGGCATCGGCTGCGCTGGGATACCTGAACAGCAAGAACACGGTCCCGCTGTGGGAGCTGATCTGGTTCTCCATTGTTGCGAATCTCTCCATTGTCTCCATGAATCTCAGCCTCATGCTCAACACCGTCGGATTCTACCAGGTTTGTCAGCATGCCAACATGACCTTGTCTATAACCTTTGGCATGGTCCCACATTCCCGAGTAAAGAAAGGCAGCTAAGAGCCAATTGTCGGCTAAAAGGGGCCCTGTTAATGACATTGTCTTTCTGCATGAATCCTTCACGTCTCATCTCGTCCTGCTCCCACCCTTCACAGATTGCCAAGTTGAGCATCATTCCAGTGGTCTGCTTCTTCGAAGCTCTCCTCCATTCAAAGGCCTACTCGCGCGAGGTCAAGTTCTCCGTGGCAGTGGTCATGGTGGGAGTGGGTGTGTGCACCGTCACCGACATCAACATGAACGCCTTTGGCTTCGTCGCCGCTACCGTCGCCGTCATCAGCACGTCTCTGCAGCAAATCGTGAGTGCATTCTTTCTCCCTTCTCTCGGCTTCGTTGTCGCGCCAGTTCATTTAATTTTTTCGCCGCTACTGTCGCCAACGTCAGCACATCGCTCCAGCAGATCGTGAGTGTCTTCGTTCCCGTGTGTGCTCCATTCGCCCCCTTCTCTCGGTTCCCTCGCCGTTCCACTCCTCTCGGCTCATTCCCCGGTCCATTCCTCTCGGCATCGTTCCCGCTCCAGTTCTATTGTTTCCCTCGCCGCTGTAATCGCCGTTATCAGCACGTCATTCCAGCAGATTGTACGTGTGTCCGTTCGACCTCGTCGTGAATGGACCTGACGACAATCCCTTTCATGCGTCTTGATGTCCGCCATTTTTTCGAGTTCACGTAGCTCCTGCGCATCCCGTCCGTTCCCGTTCCTCTCTCTTCCATCCGTATTGTTCATCAGCGTTTCCTCTCGTCCCTTTCTTTAATTCACTCCACAGACCTCGACGGAGCTCCCGTGCCTTATCCCTGCAGACCAGCTGCATTTCAAGCTGTGCTTCCTATATGCGCCGCATAATATGTCTCCTTTCATCCCCCTCCCGCGTTCTGCAGTTCATCGGGTCGCTGCAGACCAAGTACAGCATCGGCTCCTTCGACCTGCTCAGCCAGACGGCTCCCATTCAGGCGGCACTGCTCCTGCTGCTCGGCCCCGTTATTGACTACTTCCTTATCTCGCAATCCATTTTGAAATACCAGCTCACATGGGGCTCTGCGGTGAGTTGCTGGTGATGTACCTGGTCTCGAGTGTGGTTGCAATTCACGTATAGTGGTATTCGGCACTCTTCCCTTAGCTTGACACCTCCAACTGATTCTTCTGTGCAGATTTTCATCGGCCTCTCGTGCTTCTTCGCAGTCTTCTGCAATCTCAGCCAGTACCTCTGCATTGGAAAGTTCTCAGCGACGTCCTTCCAGGTCCTGGGTCACATGAAAACGGTCCTGGTTCTCGCCATGGGCTTCCTCGTATTCAGCTCTCCGATCACCATGAAGAACGTGATGGGTATGCTGATGGCTGTGTTGGGAATGGTTCTATACAGCTGGGCTGTTGAGAAGGGCAAGAAGGAGAAGGAAGCAAGGGACAAGCTTCAGAGATCTCCTATGGTGTCTGCTGCTCTTCCAACCAAAATGCCAGATGAGGGGATGGAGAATGGTGAAAAGTTGGCACTGCTGTCTAGCAACGATGATGTTGAAGCTGGAAGGCAAGGCTAAAATTAGCTCCGCCAGTATAGCCGTTGCTTCTCAGTTGGCATGTAGCTTGGCGGGGATGTGTGCCATCTCCATTAAATTATGCGTAATTACCTAGTTATACACTCACATTATTTGTTCAAATCTGGCAGTTTAGTTATAGTCGAAATATTTGAATATCGTGTTTCCAACGCCCATTTGTCTCTTGTCCAAATATCGCCGAGCCTGCCCCAACGCTCGAGAGACCCCACGAGCGGTTTCCCTCCCTCCCTCCACTACGCTTCGCGCCACACCAACTGCCAAAACGATAACCTTGAAACTGACGGATCGCTGTGATTGACCGAACCGAACCGAACTAACTGACGACTCCCTGCCTCGCTGAAAAGAACTTTCTGGGATGAATTTGGGGAGCTTTTTCAGTGCCGAGCTTCAGGGAATCTCGAGGGTAAACACGTTCTCTATCAGCTTTCGGCCATTTCCAAGGCCCCGAGTATCAAGACCTTGGTACCTAAGACCTTAGTCAAGCATTTCCTTGAGAGCAATAGCGACGCCGAGTGTCCAGCACCGGGCTTGTCCGTCGGACAAGCAAGGACAGGCTGATTCGTGCAGAATCTGGCTATTAGGTAAGGCCGGCAACTGAGTGGAGCAGAAGTTGAATGTGTTTTAGCCTGTGTGCTGTAGTGGCTGCTGCCGGCTGTTAGGGTTAACACCTCTCCGTGCGGCATACAAACATCGAACTCGTTACATCAGAGAGTTTTTCAAGATGGTTAACAATCCAGCAGCCGTTTCGGCCGTAGGAGCATGGGACCTATGAATGTGGTCAGCTCAGTCGGCATTATCATGGTCCAACAAACAAGTTATGTCAGGCTATGGCTTCAAATTCGGTAAGTATACTTTTATGTAAGTGTAGGTAATCACCTGAGAGTATGGGCTAGTACGTAATTCATACTGACCACACCCACTGAAGATAAAAAACAGATTGTTGAAGCTAAATCCGTCTCTCGTTATATTCAATCACACAAGCGATCAAAGTAAAATAAAGCCGTATTGTCTTCTTGTGTCAACTACCGTTTCAGCTTGTACATTGACGGGGTTCCATTTCGCGGTCACGGCGTTGGTCGGCATGGCATCAGCTGCAGTGGGTTATATTTCAAGCAAAGCCACCGTGCCGTTTTTGGAGCTCGCCTGGTTCCTCCATCGTCGCGAATCTTTCCATTGTCTCTATGAATCTCAGCCTCATGCTCAACACCGTTGGCTTCTACCAGGTGCGAACAGTAGTTGCAGATGAAATTCCGTGCTTTGGTTAAATCAGGCTACGCACTGGCGTTATTAACTCAGATTAAGCTCATCTAACTGCTTCAAGAAGCACTATTTCAGAGCTGTTGATTGCCATCTCTAATTCCATCATGCCTCTAAATCACAATCAATGTGTCATTTAACAGATTGCGAAACTCAGTATCATACCGACCGTGTGTCTCTTTGAAGCGTTGCTTCACTCCAAGGCTTATTCTCGAGAAGTAAAATTCTCAGTGGTCGTTGTGATGGTGGGAGTGGGAGTCTGTACCGTCACTGACGTCAGCATGAACCTTATGGGTTTTCTTGCTGCTCTTGTCGCCGTGATCAGCACTTCCCTGCAGCAAATTGTGAGATATGACCATCCCACCCCCCCTCCTTTCCTCCCTCCTCTCTCCCCCACACATCCACACGCATGTCTGCTTTCAGTATGTGAAACCACCAGCGAATGCATGTGTGTATTCTACTCGAAGTGGTTGTGTTTTGTTATGACTGCAACTCATGTGCTCATGTACTGTCTACGATCATGCCTTACACGTTTTTTCTTCTTTTTTTTTTTCTCAGTTCATCGGGTCCCTTCAAACCAAGTACAACATTGGGTCTTTTGACCTGCTCAGCCAAACTGCACCCATCCAAGCAGCATCTCTGGTGGTGCTTGGCCCCTTTGTTGACTATTTTGTTACAAGTCTGAACATTACAGAATACACCCTTACTGCTGGATGCACGGTGAGATCAATTTGACGCCATTGTTCAACTTTTCCCATCCTATCCAGCTCCGCCTGTCCCGTTGTATTCAGCACTGTCATCGTACTTGATCTCATCTAACTTTCATGGTCCAAGCTGAAATGTATCCCCCTTTTAATTCAGCATTCCTGAAATTGGTCTTGCTCATTTTCCGCTCCTCCAATAAATCAACATTCACTACACATATTCTCTCCCCTGAACCCCTGCAGGCTTTCATCGTGCTCTCTTGCTTGCTGGCTGTCGTCTGCAATCTCAGCCAGTATCTCTGCATTGGAAGTTCTCAGCAACGTCATTCCAGGTCCTTGGTCACATGAAGACAGTCCTTGTCCTCGTTTTGGGCTTCATCCTTTTCAGCTCACCAATCACCATGAAGAATGTGATGGGCATGCTCATGGCTGTAGTAGGAATGGTGCTTTATAGCTGGGCCATCGAGAAGGGCAAGAAGGAAAAGGACGGCAAGGAGACTGGAATGGTCAAGGCAGGCCAGCCTTCTCCTAGAGCATCGGAGGGGAATGTGAGTGGAGGGAAGAGGAGCGAGCAGGACTGCTTGCGACAGGTAGGCTGGAGAGGAAGATTTGGAATCTGGAAAGCAGGG